TGGTATGAAGCCCGTTTGTACTGGTGAGGTTCCAGCAGCATCTGGGAGGTACCAAGACAGCAGGGAAATAATCACAAGCTGGTTTTGGAGCTCACATCGTTAGATCTCCTGCTGTGCTGCTTCTCTGAGATGGGATCAGACGACAACCACTGATCCTTGAATTGGGTCAAACTTCAGAAACGTTCCTCTCCTCCCAGACATGCAGGGCTGGACAACCCCATCCTCCCCTCTCCCTTCCCTCTGAATTACCTTTACTCTTTCCCAAATTTAATCCTGCATTGTTGTGCTACCGGCTGGGATTTTTCCCTCTCTGCCTCTAATCTCCCTTGAGCCCTGGCTTGTTTTCCTTTCCACTGTGCTGCTCTTCGAGGTTTGCTCCCACATTCCCCGCATCACAAGGTGCAAATCCATTCCCAGAGGAGCTCCCGACTGATCGGTGGGTCTGTGGTTTCTCTCCCACGTTCTCTTCTTCACCCAGGGAAGAGTTGATCCCTGATCCCAAACCTGCTCTGGGGTCTTCATTGGCTTCAGTGGCTTTGCACAGCACCTAGACCAGCTCTACGCTTTGGGAAGCAGCCCTGGATTTTCCAGAGCTCCTTGGTGTGCTGTGTTGTTTAGGCTCCGTACAGCCATGGGGAGACACAGGTATCTCTGGGAGCTGAGTGCCCCTGAGTGAGACACTTACCTGAGAGGAGAGTACTCCCGTGATGTCCATCTGTCCCCATTCACTCTAGAGAGAGTTTAAACGGTGAATCCAGACTAGACACCCTCAACTGTTCCCAGTGCCTCCTAACTCCAGCAGTGCTGGGACGCTGTCCTCATGACGACGTTTTGCAACATCCACACGCGTGATCCCCTACCTTGTGTTTCCACCATTTTTTGCTGTCAGTGGAAGACAGCAGCGTCCATCCCAAGCCCTGCCACCAAAATGGGTGTAGACCACCCATTGGTATGGCCCAGGCTGGACACGCAGGCTATGCTCTATGTGTTGACCCTGACCTCAAACAGTCTGTAAACTTCCCTGGCTCCTCAGCAGGGGTGCATTCAGCTCAGATAAGGCTGATTCCTCCCGAAACAAGTTTCTGCCACAGCCTAGTGGGACAGAGGGTTGATCTGGTGGATCCAAACCCTCTGAGTAGCTCTGAGCCATGGGGTGCTCTCAAAGCCACCATGCACCTCTCCTCAACCCTCCCAGGGCTGGGCATGAAAAGCCAGCAGTGCTTTATGCAGCTTAGATCCACAAGCTTCAGATCCTCTCACCCACCGAGTATTTGGTGTTCAGATTAGTTTCCTTCTTACAGTTTAGGTGATGCGTTTCCAGTCTGGATCTCAAGCACAGTATTTCTTCCTCACTTTTGTGTTTACTCTTTCCTCATTTCTGGTTTTCATTTGTTCACACTGGTTGGTTTTTGCCATTTTATAATCTATTTATGCATGGGGAAGTCAATAGGACTTTCTGGGGACTTGGTTTGGGCCTTGCTACCCTGGAAAGCCAAGGCCACATCTGATGGCTACAGAAGACTTTTCTCTGATGGTAGCAGTGGAATTTGAGGCAGACACCAATTCGGAGCCCCCTGCAACCATTATCTTATGTAGAGGCTTTGATCACAGTAGACTTGTTCCATCTGTCTTCCATTTGCTGGGTCCAACGTGCCACCACCAAGGTAAGCTGGTCTCCAAGCAAGTACCAGCCAAACCCCGAGGGATTTAGCATCTAAACGCAGATGAGATGGCACATGTGGATGCAATAAAGGTGAGCAGTGATCATAGTCACCATTCGTTTATCTCTGTGAACACAAGAACGGGTGAATCGGCTCTCCCCAGGGCACTCACCTGAGAGCGCTGACTGCTGTATAACAGACAACGCAGCCCTGAATCACAGAATGGTTAGGGGTGGAAGGGACCTCTGGAGATCATCTACTCCAACCCCCCCGCCAGAGCAGGGTCACCTACAACAGGTCGCACAGGACAGCGTCCAGGCGGGTTTTGAATGTCTCCAGAGTGGGAGACTCCACCACCTCTCTGGGCAGCCTGTTCCACTGCTCCACTACCCTCAAGGTAAAGAAGTTCCTCCTCATGTTAAGATAGAACTTCTTAAGATGCAATGAGGTGGGCTGTTCTGAGACAGCCCTCAACTGACTGGCCCCAGGTCTAACGGGACTACACCTAGTGATTTCCAATGACCAAATAAGTCAGTTATTAAGTATGTCTCTAAGTGGGCAATAGACCCCCCATGACATGACAGTAGGTGAGGATGCACGGAAAGCATCCTAAGGGGATGCAGTGTAGCAGGATCACTCCCTCCCGTACAAAATTTTAGAACAAGAAAGGTGAATGAAGGAATTACAGTCATGCCAGGCTGAACAGGAAAGTGACTAGTGCAGGGCTATTAATTTGGATTAGTAGTTGCAATAAATAATTGCTTTTCTTGGCTTCTCAGGCAAGTTTTACTAACAGGCAGGCAATAATCAGATCAGACAAGATACTCTTCTCCAGGAGAGAGGCGAGCAGTTGATAAATCCTGCTCCACAGAGGCATATGCTGAGGCTGAGGGTCTCCTGCACAACACTGAACAGTGAGACAGGGTTGAGATAACACCACTCGGGTGCTGCTGGACCACCAGACCCCCTGGACTTCTAAAGCAGTGATAAACGAGGAGATAACGTCAGGCAAAGGGGAGCAAAGCCCAAGTTCTTCCATGAACTGTCTCCCTAACGAATCACTCAGTGTCTAAGATTAGCTCCTTCTGGCAGCTCCAACAGATGCAGCTGCTGGGTAAATTTAGATCCTTAGTGAATGGGTTATTTTCTCTCCTGGAATATCCAAGTCAGGAGGACAGTGCAGAGTCACTGGGCTTTGCCATGTGAGTCACCCACTTCAACACCGGGAGGTCAGTGACTCTGTTTGTCCTCCTGGGCGGCCAGAGATGGCGAGCTGACCCACCTGCAGAGACAGAGCCCTTGCTCTCAGCAGCTCAAGGTGGCTTCAGCTGTGCGAGAACACCCATATCGAGGAAAAGAGCTGGATTTTACACTGGGAGGAAGCACATCATGGCATTGCTGTCTTGGTGGTAAAGAATAAATCTGAAATAATGGAGATGTCAAGAAACATCTACAAAAACTCCAGCAACAGATCTGTGTTAAAAAGGGATGTGCCTGGTAGCTGAAGGGGCTTGGGGGATGTGACTAGAAATGCCACCACGGCACAATAGCTGCTGCTACTTCCAACATTTTGGGTCGCGCTCCCAGGAATAAAAGCTCTAAGGATGAAAGTTTGATGGCACCAAGCTCATGATATTTCACCAGGACACAGGTGGAGTCGAAATAAAGGTGAATATGAATCAAGCTGCAGTTAAAGCTCCAATCTGGTGATGCTGCTAAGGTGGGTTTCTGTCAAACGCAACAGTGTTTTATCTTGGGTCACAATTAGGGGTGGGAGGTGAGAACTCACAAACAGATCCCTGTGTCTCTCAGCTCTGATGGCTTTTTGTTACCCAGGTTGTTACCTGCATTACAGCAGCATTACAGGCACCACAGATTTCCAACATTTATTTACTACATAAATAAATGACATTTATCAGGGACTTCACAAATTACTTTGGCAGAGCTGAAAGCTGGCTAGGAACCAATCCTGATTCATCCACAGGGAAACCAGAATACACCAGCACCGAGCTTCTCAACCCAAATTACAAAGTGATCCAGACTCCGCCCTCACCAAACATCAACAGAACTCAGATATAAGGCCACTGAAAGTTACTCTAAAGTGTAAGAGAGACAAAGCTATTTTTCAGTTATTAACCCACCTTTTCCCCAAGGCACTGTGTTTCACACATGTACATTTGTTCAATGCACTCACTACTCAGCGTCCCCAAGTCTACTTCTCCAAGGAGTCTATCGTGGTCTTCCACTCCACCGCCGAGTCCCGGATCACTGCCCTTCATTCAGGGTCTTTCTCCTTTGGTTGTATCTATGTGTGTGCTCATTCAGCCACGCAGTCATGGGCTTAGGCTGTGTGCACCAAAGTCAGTTGAGTAAAGGGATAGATGGCTGGAGATGAGCAAGAGTTGGCTATAGCATCTTCTGTTCCTCAGCCACTGGTAGGAATGTGAGCTTAAACCTTTGTCCACGGTGTGTAAAAAACGCAAATGGGATTTGGTTTGAGTCCCAGGACACGTATCACAGCAGAATGGTCACGGTTGCCACATTGGTCTCAGATCCAGCAGTGGAGGCCCCTATGGGTCTGAGGTGGGGCGTGGGGACCAAGCAGTTGTGAGCCATGTGCTGTGTTTATTCAGCATGCCCAGTCTTCAGGCAAGTTGTACACAACGTGCGATAGCTGTAAAGCAGATACGGCTCCCACATTCTCATTAGCTATGCCTGATGTTGGCACTAAATCATTTTTTTCAAGACATTTAGCACTGAAGGGACCTGCTTCACAGAGATCATAACAGCTATCACTCTGCAGCTCTGACAGTGGTGGGGAGATAATTACCCTTCAATGTGCCATTCCTGGTCCTCCTTCCCTTTGCTATAAAGACTGTACTATTTATTTATTAGCCTCTTGGTAGGTATAGATCATGCTGAGCCATTTCACACTCCTTACTGCACAACCATAGATGCTGAACACTTGACAGTGGTTGCTGACCATTTCTTGTAGTGAAAGAAACATGGGATGCTTGGGCTGGAAGCAACCTGGAGATGGTCTGCTCAGAGCAGGCTCAGCTCCAGCTAATCCCTTTTTCATAGCTGTGTGTTTCTAGCCCACCCCAAAACCTTCAGCTGTGGGACTTGGAGAGTCTCCTCTGGGAGACCTGGGGTACAGGTCCTGCGGGAGAGCCAAGTGCTGGTGGACCAAGTGTTATGGGAAGGCGGTGTGTGAAATCTCTAGGCCTGCATAATGTCAGAGGGTCAGAAAAATGATGGGGATGGCTCTTGCTGGCATTAAAGAAACGTCCTGGGAGCCTACCTCAGCGGTCTGCCACGCATGGGGAGCCTGAGAAATGCCCACTGTGTCTTAGAAAAAAATCTTTCCTGCAGCAAGGGGGTGACCTGTGCTTTCCAGGTGACTTCTACATGGGTGAGCTACAGCAGTCCGATTTTCAGGAGTGCTTGGAGAGGCCCTGCCAGTGGCTAGCCTGGCAGCAGTGGCTGGAGGGCAGACGAGGCTTTGGGACAAGCCCGCTGATGCCTTCCTTTACTCCACCTTTGCTTTGTCACACTTCTCCTCCTCGATGGCCAGGATGCGCTCACGCTCTTTGATCAGCTGCACTCCACAGTACGTGATGAACCAGATGGACAAGGTGCTGACAGGGAAACCTAGAAGATGGAGGGAGACACAGTCATCTTGGTGCAGCTGCTTGCTTAGCAGGGACAGTTTTTCTCCAGCACTGCTGCCTCTCCGGTGGGTTTGGGCGGTCCCACAAGTTCATGATGGCCAACAACATTTTCCGTTGTGGATTCAGTCCTACAGCTTCACCGAGAGAAGAGATAAATTCCCAGGATTGGATTTTAGATGAAGTGGTGCCCGAGCCCAACAAGGTATCATGGACTGCAGTTAATGTAGAAACATGCTGGAGTGGCTTTGAGCACTCCCTTACCTCCAAAACTCCTTCTGCCCCCCAAGTTCAGACTTGGTGGTTGACTTTCTGCCCATTCAACCTGCCCATGTCCATCATTTGTTCAGCACTGTGACTTTCTGGAAGCTTTGTGCCCAACTGATGCTGAGGATCAACCCCAGCCTTGTCCTGTACTTAGTGGGGACAAAGTGTGCCCCCAGGAAACACTTTTTTTTGTCACCTAGGTAAGTGACTGAGAGCCAGGAGCTCTCCCTCCACATAGGAAAGGTCTGACGTCATTTGTAACCATGAGTCTGGTATCCACAGCAGAGGGGAGACACAGGCTTTGTACCTGCTAAAACAGGACCTCTGAAATGAATAATGCATCCAGCAAAAGCCAGCTAGCTCAGCGGGCAGGCACTTCTGGCACATCGAGCCCAGAGCGTCACATTATCCAATTCCTACGCCAGTCCTGTCCCAGAGAGGGCTGGAGGACGCAGGCTCCCAATGGCTATTTATACCCTGGGCTGCTCAAGAAGACTTCAAAATAGTGCCACGATCCACCAATTAGAAATGCACAGATAAGACCATAGCATGAGGATTTGTACCTGTCACCTTCAGGTTGACGCAGGAGTAGCTGCTAAAGCAAAAGGAGATGGGGTAGGACAAGTAAATCCCTTTCTCCAGCAAGGGCATCATTTCACAGATCACCTTGGTGGAGCGAATGTACCTTTGTGTTGCTGCAAGGAGTCAAAATCACAGCGTCGGACTGCGCTAGGAGCTGTACAAGTACACCTGGAAGGCAGCTCATACCCCAGAGAGGTCACGTGAGAAGAGTGGGAGCTAAAAAATTAACTACTTGCACCTTTTGAACAATAATTAAGCACATTGGGAGCAGCCACGCAACAAGCCAATGGCCAGGCCACCAAGAGGACTCGTAAGTCCCAGTCCTCAGCTCCCCTACCAGTGTCCCCCCATCAAGACAAGGGCGCCTCAATGGGGAAGGCTGGTAGCATCTTACCTGTCAGAAGGAGTCTCTTGGTGACCAGCAGTGCAAACTCCAGGCTGTTGAGAGCTAGGATGTTGTAGAGGACGATAGCCCAGAAGTTTGCCGCCCCAAAAACTGCCCTAATCCGCCGAGACATGGCTGCCGACATTTTGGCCTGTGGAAGGGAGAGGAGCAGAAAGTGAGGAAAAACGGGGCTGTAAGGAAAAGGGTCGCACTGGTCCAACTCCAGTCAAACTCCAGCTGGGATCGCAGAGGGGTAGGTAAAAATTAGAGCAACGTTTAGTGCCTCCGGGATGAAGAAACGTAAGGACAAGGTAAAACTTCCGCTCTTCTGCTGGACTCAGACACATTTGGGACTCTGGACTGGTGTTTCAAGGTCCCAGGGTTAGGGGCAAGATGTTATACATGGTTTCATGCTAATTGTAATGGCTGAGTACTGCTTTCTTCATCTGTTGCCTTGGGTAAGCCATTCCTCAAGGCAGACAAATGCTGTTGTACACCAAGATTATTATTCGCCCTATGTGCAAAGCGCTCCCAGCTCATGGTAGAAATTGTTTCTTAGGAATTAAAAAAAAAAAAAAAAAGAAAAGAAGCTGAAAACTAGTGACAGCAGTGGAGTGAAATTGTCACTGGCGGCACTTAATCCTCAGGAGCAGCTGCTGAGAGAGGAGTGGAGAAGAGGTTTACAGCAATCTTCAAAGAGCACGATGAATCCCCAGGCCACTTAGTACTGAGAACTGTGGTGCTGCAGGGGAAGAGATTTCACTGCCCGGGAGTGCTATAATCTGATTAGAAGTTCAATGAGAAGAGCAAATGGGAGGATTGCTCGCCAGAGTTTTTATTCAAAAGGGGTCTTTTCTGAACCGGTGTAGGACCTCCAGACTTTCGGTTGGGCAAAACAAATAAGCAACAGAATTTTTTCCAGGATGGAGTTTCCTAAGTTTTTCTTCTGACATGTCCCTGAGGCACCTTGGTCCCAAACAGAGATGGGGCACTAAGCTTTGGAGTGGTTGGAAAATAATTAATTCTAGTACTTAAACATTTGCTTTTATCAGAAATCAGATTGAAACCACTCAGAATGCCAAGACGTTTTGCAGAACAAGAACAAACGTTTTCCATATGGAAACGTATAAACATTTCCCCATGGACAGACCTCAGATTTCATGTCCATCTGTGCTACTTCAGTGCCTCATTGGGGCAGCAGTCCCTATTCTCTTCCACCTTTGTTTTCCCTCTACACCCAGCTTAAATTTCCCATGAAGCATCACAGGGGCTGGTGGGAATTTGCTTTGGGTGGGTGACAACATGCCTAAAACGAAAAGATAAAGAGCACCAGGCCTGTGTTTCCCTTGCACAGCTGAGCAGCTGATCAGAAGGATGATACAGGCCACAGGAGAGACCTTCAGGTGTCCATGCAGGAGGCCTAGACATGGAGCTGCATGGCATCATCAGGGATGTTGCTTTTCAGTCTCAGCTGAAAATGGATCTGTCTTCTATAAACAAGATTGAGCTCCCTACAGCCATGGATGTTCTCCAGCAGCACAGTTTGACCCCAGACCCATTGATCTTCCCCCATCCACTTGCACCCATCTCCTCACCTCCAGTTTGGCAAAGGGCTGCTGCTGGAAGAACTTCTGCACCCAGAGCTCAAAGTTGAGGCCAAAGCAGTTGAAGACAGACCAGATGTAAACAATTTCACAGGGGCCCAGCCACAGGGTGGTGACGGCAAAGGTGGCAATGGTGGCCACGAGCTCCTTCATGATGTGGTCATGGTTCTCTCCAATGTGGTCATACACGTACCTAACAGCCAAGGAAAGTGGTTGGTGCTCCCTGTAGTCAAGGAGAACCCTCTGAGGTCCCTCCTCCCACACTTACCCACCAAGAAGGATGTTCTGACTGACATGTTCTAGCCATAAACTGATTTTCACTACAGTCCAGCTATACATGGCTTGTTTTCCTCGCAAACCTATAGCTCCTTAAGGACAGAACACCACCCTGTCCCCTTCTTGCAGGTAAAGGGTTGATAAAATGTGTGCATCCATAGACCTGCAGGCTCTCTCAGACTTGCTGGTGCACAGGATTTCAGCACAGAGGAGCCACCGCCTTCAGTACAGGTTTGCTGGTGTGTACTCATGGCTGAAGAGAGCTGAAGGAGATGTAGATGGAGCTCAGGCCACCCTTGTTACCCAGGATATGGGCGATCTGGGCTCAGTTTCCCTTTCCTCCTGGTGGAATATGAACCTGACTCTTCCTCCCTTGAGGGACCGCTAAACCCACCAGGCCTAAAGGGTTTTTTGGGACAAAATTTATTCCCAACTTTGGCGGGGGAGGGGGGGCTGTTGCACTTTGTGGTGATTAATTCAATGGTCTTAAGGGATAAAACAGACCAAATATGACTTCATGCTGTAGTGGGATTTACCCAGAAGAGAGGACCCCTCAGCCTTGGGATAAATAGCATTTAATGCTTCATTGCTATGTGATGAAAGAGAAAACTCTGAACCAGACTGGAGACAACTGATTGTGCACTTACTTGCATAGCCAGTCATTAATTCCTCTGTCAAAATGCCTAAAATGCAGATGATAAAGAGCATGTTAAAACACTCAGTGTAATGACACCCTTCCATGCAGCAGTCAGCTGTAGAAGGCGCCTGGTCCCCTGGTGAGGTACTTCTTGAACCTTGTTCACAGCAGTTGTCCATGCTCCTTCCTTGAACAGGTCCTCCCACTACCGACACGGTTGTAACCTATCTTTCCCATTGCTTCCTGCCCAAGAATATTTCGCTGGGCTATGGCCAAGCCTGAATTATAAGTTCAGTATAGATTGACCAACGTAGATAGTCTCGAACTTACAGGCCAGCTGCTCAGAATCATAGAATGGTTTATGTTGGAAGGCACCTTAAAGATCATCTAGTTCCACCCCCCTGCCATGGGCAGGGACACCTCCCACCAGCCCAGGTTGCTCCAAGCCCTGTCCAACCTGGCCTTGAACACCTCCAGGGATGGGGCAGCCACAGCTTCTCTGGGCAACCTGTGCCAGTGCCTCACCACCCTCACAGTAAAGAATTTCTTCCTAATATCAGAACATCTTCCTAATATCAGAAACACAGCCCAGATCTCCTCCCCACCACGTGCATTTCAGTGTGGTCAAACATGTTGTCTCTCTTCATCAATGCATGTGGGGTACTCACGTTTCTGCGAAGACATAGAGCATGGTGATGCATTTCGGGGGTTGGGGTGGGTCCAAGTGGTCCAGTCTGGCGATGGTGTTGATGACCCCAAACATGACAGCAGCTTTCACCCAGTCATACACCAAATTGGAGTAGGCCAAGCCAGCTGAAGCAAAAATGAGTCAAACATGAGAACAGGAGCACAGGATGCCTTCAGAACTCTGGGGGACATCATGTCCCGTGGGAGTGTGTAGTCTACTGCAACAAATATAACATCAAAAGGACAGTCTTGGACCCCCAAAGCTTTTAAAATTAAGTAGGTTTTTAAGAAGCTTGAACCAAAGGACAGTATCTTTTTGGGGTATTTGTGAGCAAACTGTTTATTGGTCTTGGCAGTCCAAGAAACTCATACAGATCTCATTTCTTCCAGCACAAGATCTTTCCTCCCCTATAAGACTTGTTAACCTATGACAAACTCACCACAGCTCTTGAGTCTGACCTCTGAGGTTTTATTGACACCTTCATTGAAATACACCCTGTCCCAGCTCCTTATGGCCATAGCTGTAACGTTGATGCTATGGCAGAGCCAGAGCCAGAACCTGATTTGTATATATGCCTGACACTGGAAGTTGATTCCTGAAAGAACAAACAGAAGCTAAAATGACTCCATCTTGGTGAGATTCAGCTCACAGATTACAGGTTATGCAGTGCCTTGATGTGAGCCATGCCTGAGCTTCCACCGTGGACAAGGCAGATCTGGTCGATACAGTCAGCAGAGCCTGCAGAGGAGCTCAGCTCCCTCTGGAGTAACACATATGCTTGGTCAGTCCACCCAGGTCTCTTAGGACACCCTAAATTGATGCTAGTGCCACTCTAGCTGTATGAGGTTTTTTCTCCTGGCCTCCAGCTGCCACTCTGGAGAGACACGTGGCTTCTCCAGCCCGTTTTCTCTGTGTGCATGTCAGATACCCAATAGAATCTCAAATTCTGGCATCAGATACGCATTTGGCCAGCTGAAATCCTCCATCCAGCTGCATGACAGCACTGCCACCACTAGTCATCCCAGGAGTTTGGCTCCTGGAGGTCCCTAGTCCAGCCCTGCTCAGAGCACAGCCAATGTCAAATGGAGATTAGGTTGCTCCGGACCTTGTCAATATAAGTACTGAATATCTCTATTTTTTGAGAACCTATAACCCCCCTGGGCCCCACGTTCAATGTCTGCGCTCTAAGAAAAAAAAAAAAAAAATCCTTACGAGCAACCAGACTTTGTTGCACTGCACCTTGTTCATTGTGTCCTGCTTCTTCCCTACCAGCATCCAAGAAGAGTCCACCTTCTCTACAGCCCTCTTTTGGGTAGTTGAAGACAGCAGCTACAACTCCCCATAGCTGCTCTTTGTACAACTTACACCCTGTGGCCATTTCAGTGCCTCACAAACACCCGTAATGGGTGGCCACCTGTGAAGGCTCTGAGATACCAGATGTGCCTCTTGCAGAATGGGGCTGATTTTTGGAGATTCTGAGCTCCCTTCCATTCCAGCCAAAGGCAATGGACACAGATTGGTGCTCAGCGTCTTAAACCGTGAACTAAACAATTGATTCCAGGACCCTGTGAGGGTGTCAAACCAACGCCATCTGACAGACCCCAGGTCTGTTGCATTGTGATTGGGATGAAGGGGGCTTTACCCAAACCTGTCCAACATAGGCATTGATGAAGCCTCTCAATGGAGATGGATAGAGATCTGAATCATTCACCACTGCCTTGAAGCTAAGAACAGGTATAAGCGTGTCCAAGAATGGCCACTCACCCAAGGACCAGTCCGAGAGGCGGTTCATAAACTTCAGGTCAGAAGGAAGGGTAAGGATGTAGAAGAAGTGGAAGAAGATGTCCACAGCAATGATGGCCCCCACATGGAGGAGGGCATGGACCCGAATATTCCTCATCTCGTCATCTTTGCGCCTCAGCTCTCGGGTGCTCACCTGCCAGGATGGAAAATCAGGAAAGGGCTAAGCTGAGAGACAGGATGGGGAGCATGTTCCTTCACCCAGAAAAAGTGATCAAGGTCCAAATGGGGACTCAATGCTCTGCTTTAGGAATGGCACCATGGACTACATAGACCCAATCTCTGTTGTTTAAGGCAAACCCAAGGGACTAGCTCAGGTGAACACAAGGAACACAAGGAATCCACAAGGAACAGGACACGTCCCACCCACAGCATCCTTCCAACACACCCACCTCAGTGCTGAGCATGGCAGCAGTGTGCCTCCTAGATCACCCTCCTAGCAAAGGCTGTTCTCACCACTGGGATTTCCAGCAGAGCAGGCACATGGTGTGACACAGCAGTGACAGGTCTGGATGTACCTAAAGGACCTTAGGTGGGGTGAAAACCATACTGACCAGGGAGCTCATTTTTGTGCTCTTTTTGAAGGGACACATTCAGAAAGTCAGCTTTGCTTAAGGGTGGCTCTTTGGACAGGTCACCAACAGGGAGCAAATGCCCATACCCATCACATCTACAGGATGCCACAGCCTAGAGGGAAGGACATCTGCATGCCCAGGAGAGGTTGGGAGCAGGGCTGGAATCCCACTTGACAGCTCTGCCAGGACCAGATGCATATTTTTGGCCAGGGTCAATTGGGAGGAGGAGGAGGAGGATGGCTGATGATCTCTGGAGCTCCTGCTGCAGACACCTGCTGTAAACGAGAGGGAGAGCTGCTCGAGGGGCCGTCCTGAATTGGTGGGGGCCTGATCGGTGGGGATTTCACCTCTGTTGTGTCATGTACAAAGAGGGGCCGGGCTTTGCCTCCAGGAGCTGTCATGTCTCTGGCCGTTGTAATATAAAAATCATCAGAGCAAGCTCTCAGGATTACACTGGGCAGATTGATGTCCTCGCTTCCCCGCAAAAATTGCTGCTGTATTCAAAATCCTCTTATGTTTATTACTTTCTCTTTATTCCTGGCGAGAGGTGGGAGCTCTCCCAACCTAATCTGCAGGCTGCCGCGCCAGCCCCATCGTCAAATCCAGATGATTCCCGAGAATTAAAGCCTTTGCCAGATTTTTTCATGTCTGTTATATGTCAAGTGCTTTAAGGGTACAAAGAGACAGCTGGACCCTGAGCTGGAGGAGAAGCTGAGAGAGAATGGGCTCTGGCACGGAGACACGTGAGAGGACACGAGGCCTCTGTTTCCCACCCGTCCTCATGTCTGTGCATGGTGGCCGCACTCTTCCACCATCTCTTTGGGGTCAGAGCTGTTTTCCCCACATTTCCAGCCCTACAAAAGTGAATTAGTTCCCTTAATCCCAGTAAGGAAGATGCTTCTCAGATGGAATGGGGCTGGCCAAGCCCTGGTACAGATGAGTACCCACCACACATGGGTGTGCAAGGGCTCCAATTAGGATGCAGCACCAGTAGGAGCCAAAGGAACAGATCCATTCCCTAACTGGGCCATACACCCCACCCTGGGGAAGGGACTCCATCTACCTGCCTCCATAATTGCTGTTGGGCAATTAGGAATTCACCTCTGCATTTAGCTCCAGCAGTGCAGGGGGGCATCTAGCCAGGAGATGGCAGTGGTGGCCAGGCCAAGACAGGACCCCTGGCAGGGGCATGGGAAAGGAGTTGAGGACTTAATCCTTGTACTTTTAGGGTGAGCATTTTAAGCAGCAGATGGGGGAACTGCTCATTAAGTGGCTGTAAACATCATGGTTTGGGCCTGTACAAAAGGAACAGGACCCTCCAGATCAAGGCTTGTAGGGGTGGTGGGAGTTCAGATCTTGGAGACACCAGCAGTTTAATGCCCTTATTTATAGATACCCGGCTGCAGCATTAGAAGCCAGGGCTGCCCATCTCATAGGAAAGACTGATGGAAACTGGGGAAGGAAGAAGATCATGGGGTGAGGACGGCAGCCCAGGGCACTGCATCCCCTTCAGAGGGGCTCAGACAGTGGGGCTGCTGGAGCTGTGCTCACCTGGACTTCAGCCCAACAGACAAGACAACTGGAAAGATGAAGCTTTAGGATGAAACATGTCTTCCAGCAGCCTGGGGAGAAAAGCCCAGATGGGGCCGGCTCATCCGTGGTGCTTATCTGTTGAGAAAGAGCTGCTGGTGGACTCAATGCACCGTGAGCATCCCTTATGGGGGGATACCAGAGCTGACCTTACGATCTCCAGGGCCAAATGCTATAAAAGTCCTATTAAATAGATCCTGCAAGACCTGAGGGATCTCAGTCCTGCAGTCTCACCCTTTCAGCCTGCAGGTTGAGGTCATGCATGCCCCAGGTGAACAACCTACCATGTTCTTGGATCAGGACTCATCCTGCTCGCTGGAGCAAATGAGACCAGTGCAGACCGTTTTTTAAGCAACCACTACCAGCCCAACATTGGAGAGAAAGTGCTGGTCTGGGTGGCTCTTTGGTCTCCTCCTCACCAGGGAGGCTCTGGCTGCTCTCCCCTGGCTTGGGTCAGTTTTTCTTCTGAATTCACAAATGTTTTTCCAAAATGCTCTTTTACCCAGACATCAAGTGGAGTCCAAATTTTCAATGTATCTGTCCTTTAAAAGGAAACGGAGGGGCGGTGGCAATCCTTCCCCACACTGCTGCTGGCCAAGCAAGAGGTCCTTCCATTAGCAAGCAGCACCAGTTTGCTTTGACGACCAAGG